TGATGGGAGAGATCTTTTGTGGCCATCTAGACAATTATAAGACTTTGGCTTTTACCTATATTGAGATGAATAACCATTGGAAGAGTTTGATCAAAGAAGTCATGTATCTACCATACTTGAACAGAATCATCTGCTATTATGTTGTATAGACTCCAAGAAGATTATGCTGGAAGCAAGGAGGCCCAACTGAAGCTATTTACAACCAACCAGCTGAGAGGATGATGGCTTAGGCCAGGGTGGTGACAGTAGGTGTGATGAGAAATGATTGGATTCTGGAGATCTTTTAGAGATACAGCCAAAAGAAATTCTGTCTGATGCAGTGAGGGTAGTGTGTGAAAGATAGGAATCAAGAAAGACTCAAAGATTTTGACCTAAGTAGCCAAAAGGATGGAGTTGCCATTAACAGCAATAGGAAATTCTATAGAGTAGACTTTTGGGAAATACTAGGAGCTCCGTTTTGGACCTGATAAGCATGAGATGTCTCCTGTATATCCCATAGTGATGTCATGTAGGAAATTAGATTATGAGAGTCTAAAGTTCAGCAAGGAGATATAATTAAGTTGTCAGTGTATGAATGTTATTTAAAGCCACAGGACTGCATGAGATCACCAAAGAACGAGTATAAATAATAAAGAAAAGAGCTCTAGGGCTGCAGTTCTGGAGTATTCCAGTATTAAGAAAATGAGAAATAGCCAGAAAGAAGACCGAGGAGTGACCAGTGAGGTAGGTATCTAGGTGTCCTAGATACTAAGGAGAAAAACATTTCAGGAAGGAAGGAGTGATCAGCTGTGTCAAATAATGCTGATAGGCCCAGTAAGATGAGAACTGATAGATGACCATTAAGAACTTGTGTGTAAGATAGTTAATAAGGTGATAATCAGTAATAGCTATTATTTGTTGAGCTTTTTCTCTGTGATACTCTCTTAGCTGCTTTAGACAGTTATCTTTAATCCATAAAATAGACTTTATGGTAGGAATTATAATTCTCATTTTACAGATATTAGAAGCCAAGGCTCAGAGACCTGAAGAAATTAGTCCAAAACCACATACCTTATAAATTTTGCAAAGCAAAAATGCAAACACAAGACTTAAAAGCTTTTCCTCATTTCCTTATATCATGCTGCCTGGACTTATGTTAAAGTTGCACCCACAGTTTTATAACAGGGTTGTCAGTTGTCACCATTTGAAGTATGCATGTATGTGTAGGATAAGTTAAAGCTATCCTAAATGCTTTATACTGTGCTGTAAATCTGTATCATAAAAGGCAAAGATGTATGCATATCTATGGTGTGTTTTTTAAATGGCCTGATTCCAAGAAGAAAACTTTCAATTATGGGGTCTCTTTAAGTAAGGATTCTTTTTTTTGTAAATGTTTTACAATATGAAAGTATTAGTAATAATATTTTATAGAGTTTTTGTATTTACAATTGTTCCATACTTTATCCACTGTACATGTTTGACTTTTAAAACATTTCCAATAAAAAAAAAAAAAATGTTTTAAGAATAAATCTGAGGTATGCAAACTGGCAGTGTTTAATGATGTCTTAAATGTTGGATTCTTGTGTTTACTAGTTTACAACCACCACAAAATTATCAAATAACATGTGTGCGTATTTTACAAATGAGTCTGCTTTATTTTTTTCAAAAGTGAAATTACACTCTGTTAATTATCGTAGCATTTAGAAAATTACTTTTATCATTGCTTTCCCACTTGGCAATTGGGGTGTAAAGTTGGCACTTTGTGGTAACCATTCACTAAATGTAGTCTAGGCCACATGATGTTAATTGCTTTGCATCAGAAGATAGCATTTGGTGTATAATGTTCAGTTGTAAATTTTTTTCTAGAGGAAATACTTCTGGGCTCTTAGTGTAGCGAAATCTTGTTTAAATCATCCTTTGTTCTCAGTTCGTACTTTTTATTTTTGCTTTCTACCATTTCCTCAAATTTATTGCATGCATTTTACAGATTTTTATGTGCCTTCTAGTGATACTATTTAGTTTGCATAATTAGCATTCACATTAGAATGACTACTTGGAAAATCTCATCCATCTTGCTCTACACTCGCTCTCCCTGGGAACTCATCCACTCCCGCAGCTCAGCTACCTCTGCTTAGATGCTGCTACCAATTTTGCTAAGTGACACTGTCGTTAACTCTCTTCTGTAGCACTCCTGCACTCTTCTATTCATGCCTTCCTGTCACTGGGTTTGCCCTCCCCCTCCAATTCTTCATCTATAGAGTGATCTTTCCAAAACTTCAGTCTTCAGTAATTTTCTGCTTATAGTCCTTCAGGGGTTTCCCATTGTTTTATAATCTCCCCCAATCTCATACTAGACTTGGCCACTGAAATGTTTTTAGTTCCTCGGGTATACCTTGTCCACTGGGTATTAATATGTACCCTCCACACTACCCGGAATAAAGTTCCCCATCCTTTTGCCTCACTGCTTTGTGTTTGTCCTCAAGTCTCCCCTCAGGAAGCGTTTCTGAGCATCTTCCCTGATCCCACTCCTCTCTGCTGGCCTCTGGAGTGGTTCAGGTAGATGTCCTCTAGCCTCTCTTGGCATCCTGAAATTCCCTTAGTATCTGTCACATTTAATTGTATTTGTCTGCTTTCTCTAGTTGACTCAGAAACTAGTCTCCCCCCCCCATCTTTTGTCCTTCTGAATAAAAAATTATTTTATATGTATTTCACTTACAGACTTTATGTTTTAAAGGAGTAAGAAAACTCCTGAGGGCAAGGTATGGAGCTTTTCTTCCATGCTATCCCTAGCACTTACCATGGTGCCAGATACATACGTGGCAGATGCTGACATTTTTAATGAATGCCAGTATGCCAGTGATGACCAAGTTTGTGTTCAGCCTTCACCTCTTCTGAATTCTAGACCCATTACCACTGGGTATCAGGCACTTCAAATTCATTAAACCAAATCTCAGATTCTTTCCCTCTGAATACCTCTCCTCTCCTCCCCTTCCCTCTCCTCTCCCCATTCTTCCTCCCTCCCGTTTCCTTTCTTTCATCTGTCACTGACATTTCCAAACTGGAACTTCTGTATCCCTTACTACCTATATCACTCAGTTATCAGATTCTATCAAATCTGCTTCCTAATCATTTTTGACACTCACTCCTCAACTCCATTTTTTCACAGTTGCTTCATTTCAGGCCTCCTGTCATGTTCTACCTTGTCATTTACAGAGCCTTCTAATTAATTTGTTATTTAAATTTCAGCAGCTTAAAAACTAAATATATTACCATTTTTAAAGCATTATAAATTATTTTTAATCTCAAAATGATTTTTAAAAATCCAGAAACTAGATTTTTTTAATGTTTTTTTCTTCTAAATATACAGTGTGTGTATATGTATTCATTTATTTAGTGACTTTGTTCATTTTCAAGAATAAGAAATAAAAACTTATTGAATCAACTATATACAAATAAAAATGTTTAAAGATACTTATATGAAAAAGGAAAATCTTTTTGTGCATCAGCAATGATGATGTCACTTTTTCCATATTATATTAAATGTCAGCTGTGATCTTTTAGAGCTTACTGACTTATTGACCAGTCATCCACAGCCGTCATTGTCCCAGGAGGAGGCTTCTCAACTGCAGTGTACGGTCCAATTCAGTCCTGAAAATGGGCCAAGATGGAATAACGGGGATAGTTTTACTTTCCTTTCCGAAACAATAAAAACACACACAACTAGACAAAATATGTGAAACAGTGGTTTTCAGAAATTGAACACCAGGCAGTACGTGGCAGTGATTCCTGAGAGACAGGAATTAAATAAGCTGAGTAACATGATTGCTCGAGCCTACTGCCTAGAAAACTTTCCAGGCCTTAACTCAGGTAGGGGACTCTTATGATCTAGTTGGTCTCCTCATTATTAGCTGTGTATTACTCAGAAATATTTCTTAAACTTAGAGGCCGTTAGAATATATAAAATGTGTGCAGTGCTACCAACACAGTAATAGATAATACAGTATTTAGCAGTTCTTTTGTATCTTGACTTTTGGAGTAATATTTAAAGAAAATAAATTGAAAATGTTATTAAATCCCAAGGCCGAAGTAGAAAACAGGAAAAATCAAGAGTACATAAAAGTATATTAGACCCTGTATGAAAAGGTGTTACAGTATTTAAAGGAATACTTTAAGTAAGTGAGCAAAAGTGGAAAAATTGTTATGGTTGTAGAGAAGCTTTTAATAAAAATAATGTTATTTCTGATTTTTTTTTAAGTGAGAAGTTTTACTTTTTTTAACTATTACATTAAGTTGGAGTAGAGAACCTTTTAATAATTTGGTTCAAATTAAAGTGTGGCAGAAATTAGTTGGGAAGAAACCATATTTTCCTCCTGTATTTATACTGCATGTGTAGTATCTGAAATAGAGGAATTAAATACTACCTTGGCAATTTTCTTTGCATCCAGTGTAGCAAATTAGTTTTGACCCATTGCTAGCAGCCGCTTGGATTGAATATGGTCCATTGTCCTTTTTGTTTCCACTGAAGTTCCTTCCAGTAGTTCTTTAGGGAGGCTTTTCAACCTTTCCTATTAAAGGGAAATTTTGAGACTGGCTCTTTAAGTAAGTCTTTGTGATAGAATTGGGATTGAAAAGTTAGAACTTGAAAGGTGGATGGGATTTAAATAGGACAAGAAAGAATGTTTTCTGTTATGAGGAGTATGAGCCCTGACATGCCGTCTGAGAACAGTGAGAGGTTCATGTTGGAAAGAAGTAAGAAGTAATGCAGAGAAGATAGGCAGGGCTTGCTCACTGCTGGCCTTTAAGAGCAAGTAGGAGAAACAAGTGCATGGCACTGAAGTTAGAATTCACTCCTAAAGGGAGCGAATTGTCTCTCATCCAGTTAGGACACACGAATTTTTGGCTCTTCAACTCAGTACTTTTTGTGTATGTTAACATTCATTGTATTTAAATCTAAACATACAGATTAAATGGCAAAGTAAGAATTATTTACCTGAAGAAGTGGGTGTGTTTTTGTTTTCTAGTCTACTCCTTTACATCTAGCCGCAGGCTACAACAGAGTGCGGATAGTGCAGCTGCTGCTTCAGCATGGTGCTGATGTTCATGCAAAAGACAAAGGGTAGGTGTATCAGTTTATTTCCTTTAATGGTTTTGCTCATGGATTGTTATGCTTTGTTTTCAACATATAACGTGCTGAAGTTGTTGAGCACTAGGCAAAGAAAGTCACATAGACCATTTCTTTACAGCTTGTGGAGCATTTTAAGAATGTTTGCAACTTTGACTTTATATTATTTTCAGATGCTACTTATTAAGGATCTTCTCATAATAATTTCCTAAGTTAGTTTAATTTTATTACAATTCTATTATTTAAAATTTGTTTCTCTCAATTGCAATTATTTTTCAACTTAAGCTGCATTTCAGAAAGATAAAACAAATTGAAAAATTCTACTAATCTATTAATATAGCTATCATATTTATCTAGTTTGTTTTTTCCTGATGCAACCTGGGACATCTAAACTGGGAAAACCTAAAAGATCCTTATGAAGTTTGATGTGGTGGGGGGTTGGGGTTTGGGAGGGGGACCAAGAAAGCAGTTGTGTCATTTACTTTATGAGTAGGTGTATTTTGGAAAACTTTGTACCAGTTTTCTATCTGGTCTCCAGGAACATATGAATCAAGTTTGCTGTCCTATGTGATGCACTAACATTATCCCACCTTAAGATCTGAAAGATAATTTGACCTTACTACCCAGGTAAATAGATTCGTATTACACTCTTATGACTGGCAGCATAAAGAAGAGAAGCCCTGGAGGGGGGTTTCTTTCAGTTTGCCCCTTTCCATGTCAGGAAATACAGGAATGAAGAAAGAACTCAGTATTCCAGACAGTTTTTCAAAAGGGGAATTCATCCATTTCAAATCGGCTCTTTCCCGTGCTCTTTTTCTCTCTTGCCTGTGCCAGGTTTTATGCCACATTTGAATGGGGTCCCAGTAGTACAGGGGTACAAAGGCCTGATGCTCTTGTACATCTCTGTTTCCTTGTGCATGTCTGAAAACAGATGGGTGTACAGTAGGTGAGTCATCAAGAGAAGTACAGCACAAAAAAGGGGGTCTTGGACTCATGGAGAAAGATCCTCTGAAATGCAAGCTACAGTAGTTTGGATATTTAATTCTTATGCTTGAAATTACTTTGAAAGTGAAACAAAAAAGTAGAATATTTCAATTCTCTATCAAATAACATTTATTTACTGTAAATACTTGATATATAAAGCATGCAGTTGTCAATTAGCACATGTTCTTCGTTTTGCCTAAATGCTTCTCCAATTGGTGTTTTTATCATTATATTTAAGGATTATATACACAGAATACAAGGTAAAAACAAAAGGTTAAACATTAGCTGGGTCTTGTATCATCTTATTAAATATTTAAAAATATTTTTTAATATAATTGTATTTGGATTTATTAGATTTTTGGTAGCACTTCTTGGATAAATGACTAAGTTGTTTGAAATTTCAGTATTTTAATTTTCCTTTTTGCATTTAGTGGACTTGTACCTCTTCATAATGCATGTTCATATGGACATTATGAAGTCACAGAACTGCTACTAAAGGTAAAAGAAATAATGAGTTTTCATGTTTTTTAGTGAATAAGATTTTTAAGAGACGAAAACAGTTTTTTAAAGTATTTTCATTGCCTTAATATGTTTAAACATTCAACTTATTTTAAACTATTTTTAAAAGCTGAAATTGAAATAATTAAAACACTTGTTGACATTTCAAAGAGTTTTAACTGAAATTTACAGTCAAATAAATGTCTTCTGAGTTTTATCTGATCCAGCGACATGATTACTGACCTAAAACTTTTTTTCTCAATTCAGCACGGAGCCTGTGTTAATGCTATGGATCTCTGGCAGTTTACTCCACTCCATGAGGCTGCTTCCAAGAATCGTGTAGAAGTCTGCTCTTTGTTACTTAGCCATGGTGCTGATCCCACATTAGTCAATTGCCATGGGAAAAGTGCTGTGGATATGGCTCCAACTCCTGAGCTTCGGGAGAGATTGACTTGTATGTATTTATATACTGAAATCAATATTGTTTGTTGCAAATTAGAATATTTCACTGTAGTTATTAGGACTGGTGTTTCTAAGTTGGATAATGTCCTTCCATTCTTACACGTACACTAGTTTATAACCCTCATTTTTAAATTTTTTTTTAAATACATCTTTATTGATTTCAGAGAGAGGAAAGGAGAGGGGGAGAGAGAGATGGAAACATCAATGATGAGAGAGTCATTGATCGAGCCCGCAACCCGGGCATGTGCCCTGACGGGGAATCGAATCCCGGTCGCCTGGATCCTAGGTCGATGCTCAACCGCTGAGCCCCGCCTGGCCGGGCTATAACCCTCATTTTTGATTATATACTTGTCTACATGATTCCTCAGGAATCTTATATTCATATACTGTATATTTTTTGTGTTTATTCAAGCCTAATTTTAATTCAAAAATTGAGGATCCCCTTCCCTGTTTTTTTTAAGGAGCCAATCAGTAACCATAACCATTAATTGAATACTTACTGTGTGCCATGCACTGGAAATACAGCAGCATAAAACCACAAAAAAAAAATCGCTGAGCTCATAGAGCTTACATTCCTGTGCTATTGGTAATAATAGATGTAATCTCTTACCAAGCCCTGCAAGGTTACACAATCATGTTTTATGCCTTTTGTATGTTACAGCCCAAGTGAAATCACTTGCCCATATTTACATAAGATAATTTTTATGATTCTGTTCACATTTCCTTAGTTTTTACCCAAAGTCCTTTTTCTTTTCCAACATCTCATTCAGGATACCACATTACATTTACTTGTCATATCAAATATTGAAATATATTTATTTTACATGTGGGGATTTCAGGCTTAAATTGAACTAAGCATTACCTGCCTAATTTTTAACTGGTCCTATAGTTGGTATTCTCTCTTACATCTGTGTTTCTAAGAATCAGGTAACTGGATTTAAACACCTGAGAAAAATCTTTAAATGATAGCTTTAAAAAAAGGCAGAGTCAAAATGATGCTAACATCTTTTAAGTTTAAACAGATTTTAGACTAGTTCATTTTAAAACAGGAAGAGATCTTTTCCATTTTGATCTTGTTTAAGTGGAAATTTAAACTTATTTTGGTACTGGAACAGATGACATCTACTAGATTACAGGCCAGAGCAAACCAGATTATAACTGGGCAGATGTCTTAGTAATGAATCCTTGTAGAAGTGCATTTATTCTCTCTCCCACTCAGATGACTCTGCCATATGTTATCCTGCATTATATAGTTCATTTTTCTGTATGTATGTTCTGTCTTCCCAGAGAAATTTAAATTCTTAGAAAGACCTGTGGTTTTATATCCTGTGTTTTAGCACCTGCACAACCTTATTATAAAATGTGTGGGTGCTGTTTGTGTTGGGTCTGTATGTCTACCTCCCCCCAGCCTGGCACAGCACATTGTGCAAGTGCTCATTAAGTTTACTGAATTGAGTTTAACTCAAAACATATTTTTATATCTTTTTCTCATTACCTTCTTTTAGTTTATACCCTGGGCTCAGATATATCCCTGTATCACCATTTGACTTTTTTTCAGTCATTTTGCAAATTATGAGTAGTAGTATGAAATTTTACATTTTATTTCATTGGTCTGATTCTAATGTAAACATTAAGACTTAACCTAAATTTGTATAGTTTTGTAAAGGAAAAAATTCCCTGAGTAGAGCACTTTTTGGACTTCTCAGCATCCTCTTTTATAAATAAGGTTCTACAAGTTGTTATCTGGAGAAAAGGATTTAATAAGTTAGATTCTCTGAGTCCAGCTCTCGTCATGTCCATGGCTTTACACTAGATGTTCCCAATTGCAGAATTCTTTCTAAGGACATTAGATGGGTAACAGAAACAGCATTTCATCAGACCCATAGTTAGAGCATTTTCGTCACACTCATTTTTTTCTGCTCTTGTCTATTATTTTTTTAAATTTGTTTTTATGAAACCAAATGAACAAGGTAGTTTGGTTTCTGCACATAATTGGAGCTGGAAATACTGTAGCTTTCTTTCTTGTTTCATACTGGGTTTTTTTTTAAATATATCTTTATTGATTTAAGAGGGAGGAAGGGAGAGAGAGAGAGAAACATCAATGATGAGAGTCACTGATCGGCTGGCTCCTGCACACCCCCTACTGGGGATCAAGCCCGCAACCCTGGCATGTGCCCTGACCAGGAATTGAACCTATCCTTCCTCTTTTGTTACTTCAATTTTCTTTTAATACTATATACTTTCACATCAGTAAATATAGATCTGTCTTTTTTCTCTCAGGGCTATAAAGTATTTCAATGTATAAGTGTTCACAAATTATTTAACTGCTTTCCATTTGGTGGACAGTTAGCTTGCTTGTTTTAAAACTTTCCTGGGGTAGTATATGTATATTTGTATTGTTATGAACCGTAAGGGTATAAAACTGTCTTATTTCAGAGCATACATAATCTACACGCTCATCCTTTGCACCTTTATCATCATATCATGCTGCTGCTGTTGCTAAAGTAGAGGAGTGTGTAAAATTAATGCTTTTCCTAATTTATAATTATGCTAATTACTTTCATAGATTTAAAATTTTTGTCCTGTCAACCTTATTTTGTTAACAGATGAATTTAAAGGTCATTCTTTACTACAAGCAGCCAGAGAGGCAGACCTAGCCAAAGTTAAAAAAACACTTGCCTTGGAAATCATTAATTTCAAACAGCCACAGTCTCATGAAACTGCACTGGTAAGATTTTATTGTTAATCCATTCAGTGGTTGATAATAGCAGTGTGAGCACCAAATGTGATTTTTATTTCAGAAACCTTAAAGTAACTAGTATCTGAAGTGACGGGGATTTGCATTTTAATGGTTGCATTGATTTTTAAATTTGGTTTGGGAGGCTGTTGCTTTCATGGGTGAGAGAGTAGACTTTTGCTCAACCTTGATTTGGGAATTATTTTTACGTTTGTCTTTACCTAACCATATTATAACAAATCCACCTGTGTGGCCAATGCTTTCATAAATACAAGCTGTGATTTTCTCTGTAGAATCTTCTTTTTCTTGTGGTTGCTAGATAAATATGACATTGTTTTCTACAGAAGATTAAAATATTTTCAAAGATACTTCATTTATCCTTTTGAGCATATTTATTTATTTTCCATAGAAGATTAAGGTATTTTCAAAGATAGTTGCATAATTCTTTTTCACTACTGTATTCAAAGAATTATTACATTCATTATAGAAAATGTACTTTTAGAAAAATTAGTTTATTTTCATTGTCATTGATCACATTAAGTTTCAGGTATAGGACTGGTGAGATTACTCCTGAATTCAGAATTGAAACATTTGTAATGCCTCTATCACAGACTTTTAAATATATACTTCAGTTAACATTCTCTCATATATCTGGCACAAAAATAGTCAAACTGTCATCAGTACATGTGGGAACAACATTAAAAGAGTTACCAAACTAAAACGGGCCAACTGTATGTACACTTAAGCACATGGCTCTTAAAATGAGGTTTGGTGACATTCATGCTGCACAGCAGTATGCCAGGGGATACTCAAAGTCACACTGCTTTTTGGAGTGCTCATTTTATTAATTAGAAAATAATTTTTTACTTTTTAAATTGTAATACAAGCATTAATGTAAAATGAAGTTGAATATAAAAGTTTTATAAATATAGAATAAAACCTAAAATTTCTGAGAATACCTCTCCCTCTAAGCTCTTTGGGTCTCTTACCTTCTTGACTGTCCCTGGGCATAAAGGCGTATTCTTCCGTAGTGCCAGGAGTACCCCCGTGAAAGTGAGGTCCTCATCTCTGTGGCTGGCAGTCTAATGAAGAACTGAGAAATGTAGTTACAGATTTTTGTAGCTTTGGAGAGGCAGTATTCTGATACCTGCAAGTAAATATGGACTGTGTAATTATTTATTAGCTAAAGGAAAAGAAAAAAAGTCTTTCTTAGTCCTTAGACAAGAGCATAATTTTATCTTGCTGTCTGGCTTTTTATGTTTTGTGCTTCCAATATACTTAGGAGGAATTTTGGTCATCTTTATAATGTAAAATATATAAATGTATTTTGAGATAACAATATCCTAGATAGCACATGCTATTTAATTCAGAAATCGATGTTTAAATAGAAGTTCATTTTATTAACTTATGTTTATTTACTCTACAGCACTGTGCCGTGGCCTCCCTGCATCCCAAACGAAAACAAGTGACAGAATTGCTACTTAGAAAAGGAGCAAATGTCAATGAAAAAAATAAAGAGTAAGTGTAATCGCAGGAGCTGCTCAATTCTTCAAGGGAAAATGCGCTGGAAGTTAGCGAGTGACCCTTTCCTTCTCTCCTCTCCGTAGTTTCATGACTCCGCTGCATGTGGCAGCAGAAAGAGCTCACAATGATGTCATGGAAGTTCTGCATAAGCATGGGGCAAAGGTAAGGCGCACCCCTGAAATAAAGCCCAGGCTTGGCATTGAGCAGCCAGCTGCTCCTAAGACTGTTCATTTCTGCAGGAAAATCAGAGAAAAAGTAATTTTATAAAGGACTGTTAGTATGTACTTGAATTCATTCTTCTTTAAAGCTGATTTAAATCTTGTTCATAGTAAAAATTTGTGTTTTAATTTACTGTTATTCGTCTAGAAAGCAGTAAAATGTAACTATAATCTTACCATTTGAGATACATTTCAGCTTTACATTGTTTTGTGTTAATACTGGAATAAATATATTTTATAGTCAACATCAGTGATGTTATCAGAAAATAATTTAGGTGAATGATAGTCAAAATATTTGCTACTTATTTTAAAGACCATCTGTATTTCTTTAACTCATAATGATAATTTTTTCCAATAACCTCAAAACTAAAGACTTTTAATTGTTAAAATACTAATCTTTACTGAAGAATGGAGAAATTAAGATGTATTAATATTTAATACGCAAATTGTTTCTGTCAGCCTGCCTGAGTCATGTCAGAGTCCAAGGTGTTTCGTAAAGCAGAATGGAAGTTTGAGAGGGAGGGACTGACAGTGAAAAACTCACTCATCTGCTCACTTTCAGCATGTTGTGACATATCACACTTTGCACGTGCCCAAATCCGTAGATTTGTGGGCGTTATCCTAAACAGTAGAACCTGTATAAATACTATTGTCGATAATCAGAGGGAATGACCATGACAATCTTATAGCATGAAGAAGTTGTCTGGCTATTTCATGAACTAATATTTTCAGAAATTGTCATACTTAGTGCTGTGCTTTTTTTAAATGAAAATAAGAGAGTTCAAAATTTGCTGATAGTTGTTTGAGGACAAATGACTACTACTTGTCTGTAGGTACTAGTTAAAAAAGAAACATAATCAGAACGTTCCCTAAAGATAAAAGTTACATATTTTAGAGCGAATGAGAATGTAACTGAATTTTAAAGGAAACTTTTAAAGATTAAGAGGATATTTTAAAAATAGATTTTTAGAAAATGTCCAGTTTTTTTTTAATTTTGTTGCCCCTAAAATGATGTAACTATATCACACAGCTATTGTATCTAGGTAATTTAAAAACTTGAAAACAGAAATTTCTAAACTATTTTAAAAGCCTTTCTTAATTTCTGTTTAGATTTTATTGAATCTATTTAAAACATTTTAATGCAGCATCTCCTAATAGATTTGTAAGAACATCAACAAAGTTACAATTTTACTAGCAGAATTTCAATTAAAACCTTAGCACAGTTAGTAAATTACATTAAAAATAAGCAATGTGATTTTAGAAGGCGTGTACTTTTTCCAGTGGCTCCTTTTCAGCCATTGGGACCAACTATTTAAAATGAACTTAGGGGAAAAAAAAGAAAATGAACTTAGAATCAGACCCTCAAATCGAAATCACAATTTTTTATAAGATTTTTCAGTTTTTTAAATTGAGCCAAAAGACATTTTGTACCATTAGTAATAAAAATATTTTTAAAATTTTAATGGTTTCATCTCTTTCCCATTCTTTGTAGTTTTTCTTTTTGTACAAATTTTGTACATATTTATTATGTATTAGTATAGCACTGTTTGATTGTAATTTACAAATGAGCACGTGTATATTGAGAGTGTACTTAAAACATTTTTTATTCATGAGGTGCATGATCCAAAAATTTGGATATCCTTGCTTTAAAAAGACAATTGTTTTTAATTAAAAAATCAGAGTGAGCTGGAATGAAAGGGAACAGAGTTCTATAGTTTTATACCTACTTTGAGGGTACCATACAGCATTGTTACATAAATAATGTCTTGTTGCTTTTCAAGCAGAAAATACTAAGCTAAGTGGGCTTTCTGCTACACTTAAGAGCATCATCTGTTTATCATTGACCTATTTTTAAAAATAGCTTATGTCATTTATAATGTTCTTGAAAAACCATGAATAATGCTCTTCATTTGGGGAAAATATCTATTTGTTATCTCCCATGAGTCATTTCATGAAGGTTCCGTGAAAAATAACATTATTTTATAGCCTATCCTAGTCAGCATTACTCTAGGCCTTTGGTTCTCAATCTTTGTCTGCCGTTGTTCACAATAGATTCTCATCCATAACGTCAAAATTCATCAGTGGGGCATATGTTATTTTACACACCCTGGCAGCGATGTAGAATGACTTTTAAACTAGTATATTCTCCCTAGTCCTTCTGCTACAGTTCAGCTAAGTTGAGAATACCTGTTCTTAGGTACATTAAAAGTGGGGAGTTATGAACCAGTAGATACCAATTGCCATCCTCCATTCACTCATTCCCTGGTTCCGAGACAGGCTGCTGCCCCTTAGGATTGGTTATCTGGTGACTGATGCATTAGTAAAAACCCAGCGTAGCTCCTGTGGGCCCCAGTGTTTGCTGGCCTAGTGTTCCTTCTGGGGAACTGAGGTTTCAGTAGATTTTCAGGCAACTCGTGGTTTCCCGTTTGGTTGTAAACCACCTTTGGAACGGCAGCGCCAGCCGTGAGTCCGTGTTCGGCCTCTTACAGTGCTTCTGTCGTCGTGCTGCCCTCTCCTGCTCGTGATGGGCCCGTGCTCAAGCGAGGCGTTAAACCAGAGAAGACAGAGGATTTGTAAGGGAGATTTCACCTGTTTTACTTAGACAGATAGAACTCAGTAATAATTATACAAGCCAAAGCGTACTTGTGCTCAGAGCTTGGTGATAGAAACAAAGCTCAGGTGCATTGTACGTGTTATAAACACTCTGTATGTGGAACACAGACAGGCGTACTTTCCAGCTTAGAATCCTCCACTTTCTAGTTTTGTGACTTTGGACTTAATTCCCTGAATCTTAGTTAACTTATTGGTGATACGTGGGTAATAATACCTCTCCTGCAAGTTTTCTTTTTTTTAATTAAATGAGCTTATGGATGTAAGTATGTACTGTAGTACCTGGCACACAAGCAATACTTTGATTACTAGTAAATATAAGCATTGTATTTTTTTCCAAACTTATATTCTATGTATTTCCCTTAAATATCTGGCATTTTATGTAAGACTTATATATCTAATCCCTTTATAATTTTTCAATTTACTAACTCAACAAATACTGAGATGCAAAGTGATCAAGACTGTGTGCTGGATACTAAGGGAAATATCAGTTTGGAAGTTAATGCAATTACCAAACTTGAAACTAACCCTAAACCAATTTAGCGCATTAGTAATGAAGAAGGAAGAGAAAGATGAAAGCCACTTATGAAGGGATAATTATATTACTTGGAAATGAATTGGGTGTTTGAATAGACTTAGAAAATGATGGTACAAATAATGGAAGTAAGAAGGCTAGAGAGAAATACTGGTTTCCATGGCATGATAATGATTGTGTACTTGGAGTCAATGTGATAGAGCAACAATTTTCAACCTTTTTCATCTCACGGCACACAGAAACTAATTACTAAAATTCTGTGGCACACCAAAAATAAATTTTTTGCCCATCAGACAAAAAATGGGTATAATTTTGATTCATTCACACCGGACCACTATTGTTGTGTTGACTTGTTGTCATTTTTTTGACAGTCTATGGGAAAAGAAGTCAGTGCCCCTAAGTGGTCAAGTATTGCATGTGTTAAAACTCTTGTAGCACACTGATTGAAAATCACTGTGATAGAGGGACATTTAGATAAAACTAGAGGTTGGAAATATAGCACTACAATATGATAAAAGAGAGTTTAGGATTAGAAATACCTATTGGACAGCCATCAACTAGTGCTTATATGTTATGGGATTGAGTAGGATTCCTGATAGAGAAAATATTGAGAGGCTAATTGAGAGTTAAGGACAGAACCTTTGGGGATTTATCCATATGTATAGAGCAGTAATGGAAAGAGGAAACAGAAAGGTCTATCACAGTGTCTATTGAATAAAATAGGAATATGAAGAAAGAGCAGGTGGTCAGTGCTACAGAGAGGAATCAAGGTAGACAATGGCATTTAACTTGGCAATTTTCATATAAAGGCTTTGGTAGCTTTGGGAGGACGCACTCCAAAGATATAGAGGCAGAGAATTAAATTAGGGTCTGGGCAATAAACAGCATACTCACAGAGTTTATAATTTGAGGAAAGTTTAATAAAGAAATTATATACAAAGGTGTGGGCAAGGTTTAAGGAAATCGAGACGGGATGAGGTAGTACTGGCAGCAAGTGGGAGATGTTACCATCCCTTGGCCTGAAGGGGGGAAGAAAGGAAGAGGTCACTGGAACAAGAAGGGGGATAGCTGTGTGGAAAAGGCCATCTGGTGGCACCTGCAGCGCTTGATAGAGGCTCTGTCTAGCTCTCCTCCTGCCATTGCTTTCCCATTGGCTAAATGCAATGAGAAGTTAAAGACCACAAGAGCCGATTAGTGTGATCTGTACAAGTGACTTCCCCAGGACATAGAGCAGGGTGGAGAATGGCTATGGATTCAGAGGGGCAAACAGGCAATGTTCAGCCAAAGTGTAGAAAAACAAATGGCTGGTAAGGAAAGGAGGAGTATAAGAAAATGCAGGCATTAACCCACATATGTGAGAAATCTACTTTATAGGAGTAGAATTCTGTGTCTTAAAAAAAATGAATAATTTGCACTACAAATGCCCTGCCTTGCAAGATTGCTGTAAAGCTGAATTAAATAGGAGAGACATAAAGATTTTACCCTTCAGGGAGCAGTGTTTTCTTTATTATCATTAGTCTGCCCTGGCATTCCACACTCTATTACTGCTGCCTTGTCTGCTGTTGTTATTAAGTAGAACTTGAGCCCCAATTGCATATGGTATTATTAATACCTAAAAACAAAAGGTTTCATTCAGAGGTGCTTTTTCATACATAAAAAAAGCACTGCTATTGTGTCATTAGTGATCATCTGTTAAATGTGTAGAAGATGAAGAAATTTCTTTTGATCATATGTCTTTATTTGACAGATTTATTTATATTGTATGTAGGAAGAAATTGTGTCAATAGTAATTGGCATTG